AAACCCAAACCCTAATCCCTGAACCCCAAACCCTGATCCCTGAACCGCAAACCCTAATCCCTGAACGGCAAACCCTAAACCCCAAACCCTAATCCCTAAACCCCAAACCCTAAAACCCAAACCCTAAAACCCAAACCCTAATCCCTGAACCCTAATCCCTGATCCCTGAACCGCAAACCCTAATCCCTGAACGGCAAACTCTAAACCCCAAAGGGTGGAACTGGGGCCTTGGGCCAAGCGACGTGTCCGAAACCACCCTCCGACATGAAGTCCTTCCTTGTCAGGGCTAGCATCTTTATGGAAACAACATACATACATATATGTATGTATATATATATATATAGAGAGAGAGAGTTATGTATGTATGTGTGTGTGTGTGTGCATATGTGCGTGTGTATGTCTGTGTGTATATATATATATATATGTATCTGGCTTTGAACGCAATATTTCCCTCTATGCACATCTCCGAATCAACTTACACTGTGCGTAACCATCCCCTTTCGCAGAGTATATGGTTATAGAAGAACCATGATGGATGGGTCTTAGATATGGGGAGCGTTCCGTGTAATCAGGGTAAACTAGACTCCACTTAGATTGCTTCGAACTGAAATAAAGAGTGTGGCAGGCTTTGCTTGAGCTTCATATCGAACTATCGATCAGGTTCTACTCCATTCTCATCCGTCTGCAGCAGAAAGATGTCGGACATCCTGGTATGAAGTGATGAAATCTTCGGGCGCCTCATAAACACCTTGCACCAAGCCATAGGGTTTTATGGTGCTGAGGGGAAGGGGGAACCGAAACATTTGAATACGGCTTTGGGGTATACTATTGTAAAAGTTATACGGATTACAACATACTGCTACTGATCTAACAATTCGAGTACCCATAATAATAAGCATCACGCTGAATTAAATAATCACAGATATTCCATTACTAAACTAACAAGTATCACACTTAAATAATCATATCTATTCTATATTAAGGAGCCTTTCGCCGGATACTCCCTCGGAGCCAGGGGCGACTCTTGGCTTCTCGGGCTCTGGTCCAGAGTCAGCAAATTGCAAAGAGTCCATTCAAGGGCCGAGGGGGAGATGAGGGGGTTTGGGGGTTGAGGGTTTAGGGGTTCAGGGTTTAGGGGTTTAGGGTTTAGGGTTTAGGGTTTAGGGGTTTAGGGTTTAGGGGTAAGGAGCCTTGGCTGTGAACCGCCTTATCAAGGATACATGCCGGCATGAAACATGACAGGACCGCGATGCCCTACGCCCAAAGCCATGAACGCCTCTGTAAACTCACAGATCTCGGTTGCGAAATCCTAGATTTTTAAGCCATAAACCCTAAACCCTAAACCCTACACTCCTAAACCCTGAACCCTATAACCCCTAAACCTTAAACCCCTAACCCCTACTCCCTCTGAGTGTCGATTGACTCCGTACAGTTCCAATCCTCAACATCCAAACTTCCCTCAAGCTCCAAACTTTCCTCGAGGCCGCAAGGAAACCACAACTTTTCGCAGGGCCCCTGCCTAAACCCTAAACCCTAAACCCTAAACCCCTAAACCCTAAACCCTAAACCGTGGCCCCTGCTGAAAGTCGATGCAGATCAGCGCTGTGGATTTCAGGGGCAAGGTCACGGGCCTCGAAGTTTAGGGTTTAGGGTTTAGGGTTTGGGGTTTAGGGTTTAGGGTTTAGGGTCACGGGCCTCGAGGGACAAGCGAGAGGATCAGATGGAGGGAGGACAGGGAGAGAGAGACAAAAACCTGTGCGGGTAGATATGGACATAGCATGTCTGTGTGTATATATATGTACATATATGTACACATTAGCATACACACAGAGTCATACATACACAAACATGAAAGGGGGCGAGAGAGAGGGAGAGAGTCAGAGTGCTGCACATTCGCATGTAGCAGCAACTTCACATGTTCACAATCATATGTATGCATGCACGACATAAGTATATATATATATATATGGGGGTTTCCGAAAATAGGGGACCCTAATATGGTACCCCAAATAATAGGATCCCTAATATATGGACCCCAAAATAAGGTACCCCTTAATTTCTGAAACTCCCATATACATGCTGCGTACAGACTAGGGTACATACGTGTGCAGAGAGAGAGAGAGAGCGAGCATACAGAGCACAACATGAGAACAAGAGACGGAGCGAAAAAGAGAGGTAGGTAAAGAGAAAGGCAATACTGCAGAGAAAGAGCAAGAAGACGAGAAGCAGATACCAAAGCAAACTAAACCCTAAACTCTAAACCATGAAGAGGCGCAACCAAAAAACGAGGGAAGTGCCAGTAGCTGGTCGGGAAGATGAAGAGCGAAGTCTCACGAGTTCTCGGGGGGATGGTAGGTAATGTAGGGGCCTTAACAGTTAGAATAGGGTTTGGGGGGTTCCTTATTGTAACTATAGTTGGTATGATATACCCCCAAACCCTATTCTAATCATCAAGGCCCCTATGTTAATTGCAAGAACAGTAACAAAGACATAAATGTAGCTTCTAGGGCTTTGGGAATCTCGCGTTTGAGGCACTATGGGGAAACGGAAGCATCCAGTGGCTGAGAACAGCTTTTGAAGAGTTTAGGAAAGGATGTTTGTTGTGTTGACCATTTAGGACAGGCTTCCATCACATGCTCTGAAAAGGTAGTGTGCTGACTCATATGCAGCAGTTGCCTTCAGCTTTCAAACACAACCGTCCGGTATCCAACGGGGAACTAAAGATAAAACTTTCAACTTTGTGGCTCTATGGGGATTATAATGGCCCCAAAAGGTCACGGGTTACATGCTCTATCTATATTCTCCATTGTAATACCTTTTGTGGTTACCCAATGTAATGGTTAGGATTCAGGATCGTATAGCATAGATTTGTGTAACCAAAAGCAGAACTGCAATGGCCCATCGATGATTTCTTTTACTGCTTAGAGGTGAGATGTTGAAAAGTAACGTGGGGAACCCGCCCGATAACCCAATCCTACAGCACGTGTTACACCGGAAGTTTCCCAAGCTTTCAGCACTTCTGAACCCCCTCAATGTCAACCTGAACCATCTCTGAACCTAAACCCCATAAGCCCAGAATCCCAAACCCTAAACTCTGAAGCCTAAGCCCTGAGCCCTGAGCCCTAAGCCCTAAACCCTAAACCCTAAACCCTAAACCTTAAACTCGAAACCCTAAACCCTGAACCCTAAACCCTAAACCTTAAACTCTAAACCCTAAAAACCCTAAACCCTAAACCCTAAACCCTAAACCTCTCCAAGCTGCTTCGGGAGTGACTCGGGTAAGGTGGCCATGGGGCCCTTCTCGGCCGGTGGAACAGCAAAGTGAATCTCGGGCTCCGCCTCGCGAGTGCTCGCGGTTTGGGGTTTAGGGTTCGGGGCTAAAGATCTGGGATTTAGCGCTTCGCAAGAGGATCGGTATTGATCTCTTGACAGGCTCTGCGAGTTAGAGGCTTCTGGAACCCTAAACCCTTGTCAACCCAGGAAGCCTAAACCCTAAAAGCCCTAAAACCCAATCGCCCTTTTCTTAACCTAAACCCTAAACACTAAGCCCTAAAATTCGGAGCATCCTAACCCTAAACCCTAAACCCTAAACGCCGGGAATCTTGGGGGCCTCTTCTGTCTTGCTCTTCTTCGCAGAGGAAGCCTCAACAGCAGGCAACGTGTCTGGCTTTGAAACCTTCTGGATTTAGGGTTTGGGTAAAAGGGCTTAGGGTCTTAAGGTGATCAGCTCAGGCTAGAATCGCAAAACCTCAGTCCCTGAACTCGATCAGGCCGCCAAACTGTAAACTGCCCAAACCCACACTTCAGGGTCCTGGAGAAATAGAATATGGCTTTGGGGGTACGCTACAGTATAGGAATCACACATGTCGTTCTTGCTCTTTGACGCCACATGCATGGTGAAAGCACCACAGCCCATCAGGGTTTACACCTATTAACCTACCTGAACCCCGAATAACTTATTATTCTTGGGTCCTCTGCACCCGTCGGGTTCAAGGATTAGGGCTTATTAGGGGAGAGCTTCAGAGGCATTCTGGTGACAAAACGCCTCAGCAGCCCCAAGACTACTACACTACACATAGCGAAGTAGTTAGGAAAAGTCGTAACAAGTAAAATAAGAATAATGTCACAGTAACAATAATGAGTGCAATAGTAGTGAACAGCCACACATAGGACACAACAATGATAGGTAGTAGTAATAGTAAGAAATAAAAGAACCTACTAAATCCGCCACAGTCTAATAGCCCAAGAAGCTAACCTGTTCAGTTCTAGTAAGATTATATATACTGCCCAAAAGGTGACGGGTGCCTGCTCAGCCCCTCAAAGAACCATAATGTAGGGGCCTGAATAATTAGATTTCGGGGCATATCATACTATACTTATAATAAGGAACCCCCCAAAAAACTATTGGTAATTATTTAGGCCTCTATATTACTTCGCACACCTTGGCAGCTGCTGGGCGTTTCTTTGGAGCCATGGCTTCTGATGCAGAGGACGGGACTTGGGCAACTCACTCTCTCTCTGGGTGATGAGACAATGTCGGGCCTTTTAGATAGTATGTATTTATACTTGTATCAAATGGTCTGCAATATGTAATATGCATGTCAGACATTATCTGTAGCTTCTGCTAAGTTCCAGTCGCCGGGGCAGTGCGAGAAGGCAGCTTCGGAGAACGAGTCACAAATGGCAGCGATAAGGCTCAACTGGACATGGCTTAGGGTCTTGGGATTACGCAGGGGCCGGGAGGCGTGACTGAATCACTACATTACATGGGGTGACCCTGGCAACGGCTCTGACGCTGCTCTGACCAGCCCCTACAGGGTCGTTTTGCACTGGCAGCGCTGGCTCTAGGCGCTGGAGGGGTCGGAGCTGGAGCTGCTGTCGCCTTCAGCTTGGGCGAAGGCTTGGGGTCGGGATGAGGACAAGACTTAGGCTTTAGGGTTTAGGGTTTAGGCTTTAGGGTTTAGGCTTTAGGGTTTAGGGTTTAGGGTTTAGGGTTTAGGCTTTAGGGTTTACGGTTTAGGGTTTACGGTTTAGGGTTTAGGACATGGCCCTGTGAGTCCGAAGTCTCCATGCCTTGAACTTGCAACCCGGGTGTAGACAGGATCATAATTCGAATAGGGTTTTGGGGTATATTTGTCTATACGTATAATAAGGAACCCCCGAAAATAGTATAGGCTTCGTTGTTGAGTTTCTTGTGGCTTCTGTCTATAATACAAAGAAGGGAACCAGCAGATAGGAACCCTAAACTTTCTCCAAACCCTCTGACCTCCAAGCTCTAAATCCTAAACCCTAAATCCTAAACCCTAAATACTAAACCCTAAACCCTAAACCCTTTAAATCCTAGGCCCTAAACCTTGAATCCTAAACCCTAAACCCTAAACCCTAAATGTGGCCCAGGGGCTGCTCCCTGAGCTGCTCTTCTTTCCTGGGAGCTCCCGACCGGCGCAAGTTACCCCAAGCCATGTGTAATACAGGGGCCTTATTAATTACCAATACTATTTTGGGAAAAAGCTTAGTATAATTAAAGAATAATGGGCCCCAAGATCCTGTTCTAATTCTGAAGGCCCGTATAGTAAGCAGTTTCGGGCTTGGGCTTCGGAGGCGTGGGAAAGGGTCTTTGACATTCATACTTCTGGGACGCACTCCTAAACCCTAGACCCTACTAAATCCTGTCTTCATACATCTTGAGATCACAGCTTCGAAAGCGTAGCTGCTTTTCGGGCGGTCTCGGGGACGACATCATGGTTTTCAGATGGGCCAGCAACTCCCTGCTTTAGGGTTTAGGGTTTAGAGTTCATCTGCGACAGGAAACTGTTTTCACAATGTCACAACGTCACCCTGAACCCTAAATCAGGGAGCGGTTTGCTGCTTGAGCCAAGGCACGCTTCTTGGTGGGCTTCTGCGCCTTTTTCTTCGGCTGCTTCTCCTCCTTTTCTTTCAGGCGCTGGTCCTTCTCATTTATTCTGGTCTTCCTTTCCTTCTCCTGAGTGTGCAGACCAGCCCGACCCTTAAGATTTCGGAGAAGACTCCCCAGTCGGAGGAGATCAACCGAAATGCGCGTTCGCGAGATCGCTGCTCTTGTCGCTGTCGGTCCGCAACTCTTCGATTTACCTGGCCAGTCTTCTTGTGGAGAGCTCGAACCTCTAGACTCTATTCCGATAGGGGCGACAGCTCTATGCCGAATGAATTCATGAGACTACTGTTACGTTGTGATGCTGGAAAATTTGGAGCTGGAAAATTGGGAGTCGGCGACGCCATCGTACTCTTAGTAGTAGTGGTGGTGGTGGTCGTA